CAAAGTTATATGATTGCCAACTCATATATGGTGACTCCGGGTGGAATACAGCAGCAAAAAGCCACAATTTAAATCCACCAGGTTCCTCTTTCACCACCCCCACCCTCACAACTTAGCTACAGTTAGCACCAACTAAGCACATGTTTACAGCATGTTCTTCAGTGGTTTCTAATCCACTGGATTAGATCATCATCCTTGGAAGATGAATGGAACATACCAGACTTCCCCAGGTTTAGTATGTGTCATACTAACCACTGAGCTGCGATGGCACAGTGGTTAGAAAGGAGTATTGCAGGCTACTTCTGCTGACTGCCGACTGCCAGCAGTTTGGCAATTTGAGTCTCACCAGCTCCAGGTTCACTCAGCCTTTCATCCTTCCAAGGTGGGTAAAATGAGGATCCAGATTGTCAATATGCTGATTCTTTAAACAGCTTAGAGAGGGCTGTAAAGCACTGTGAAGCAGTATATAAGTCTAAGTGCTATTGTTATTGCTATTGTTGCTAGTGGTTAGGCCTTCCAAATTGTCTTGTCAATTTTGAGGCTCTCCCCCCCCCTCCATTTTGTTCACTAGGAGATTTTATACTGCTAGATGGTCTTAATTCTGAGTTTCCTCCTCTTGTTTTGTTTGAATTCCATGTCTTTTCTTGAATATCACCATTCACCCTTTCACCCTGACTTGTGAGCCGCCCTGAGTCCCCTCAGGGAAAAGGGCGGCATACAAATAAAGGAACTGAACTGAACGGAACTGAACTTTAAAACACACTTTGCCCTTTCATTGCTGGGAATTTTTGCCCAAACTATATTCGAATACATATCATATCTTAGCAGTTGATATCTCTACTCCAGATTAAGTATTACCTTGGTACACAATCAGTAAGTACAGTAGGTATGTAAATCTTTCCAGTCAGTGAGTTGTGCTGCTCCCTTTTTTTCCTTTTCAGTTTGCAGAGTCGCAGAAGGGGGACAAAACTGATTCTATGTCACTTTTGTAAATGCGATTTCATCTGCTCCTCTTTTCTAGATTCTTAAGGATAAAAGATAAGAGTTTCATACAGTGGTTAAGGACCAGGTTAGAAAGTGAGAGAGTGTGAATTCTAACCCCACTGATAGGCACAGAGCTAGTTGGGTGATGTTGGGCCAGTCATTCTCTCTCCGCCTAGAAGAAGGCAACGGCAAACCACTTCAGAAAATGCTGCCAAAAATATTCAGGGCCCAGAAGTCAACATTGACTTGAAGATACTAAAAGAGAGAGAGAGGCTAAAGAGCAGAAGAGAACTTTTTAGTTATACATTTGCAGAATATTTTACCAGTGTTCAAGAATAATAAATAATGTTGTTACTGTTAATAAGGACTGATGTATTTCCTTACACAGATTTGTTAGATAATATTTTCTTTTAAATGTATTGTTTATTGTTTTCCATGTGATTTTTTTAAAAATTCAGCATAATATGTCTTTCTGAATGCCATAGATCTTCACACAGGCCACATAGTGTAAATTCTAGCTTTGATGTCCAGGTTTCAGTCAGAACAGAGGTCTTCAAACTTGGCAACTTTAAGACTTGTGGACTTCCACTCCTATGCTGGCTGGAGAATTCTGTGAGTTGGAGTCCACAAGTCTTAAAGTTGCCAAGTTTGAAGACCTCTGAGTCAGAAGATTCTCAGACTTGTGTGCAAGGATAGGAACACTGTTACAAGGATAAAAAACACACACACATCAGTTCAAAAAAGAAAGGGTTATTCTGGTTATTCTGATGGCGGGACAGGAAAGGAAAAGGTTCCTGATTCCTAGAATTTGGAATGAGAGGTATGAGAGCCCCAGACAGTTCACATTCTGTGTGTCACCAGTGAATTGGCGGGGGGGGGGATTAATAACAATTAGAGTTCTCCATTTCTCAGGAGAAATTAAAGACTAGTAAACCAATTCCTTTGTTAAACACATGGAGAGCATGTACATTTTATGACTTAATAACCTTTCACACTAAATTGTTTGATATTTATACATTAATCATATTCAGTGTACTAATTGAATGATGGTTGTGTATGCTCTTTGATAGTACAGAATGAAAAGAAATTTGGAAATAAATATCTGAACATAAATTAATGACCTGATCCTGTGTGGGGTATGTGGAGAGATTTCATCTATTACTTTCACTGGACTTTGCACTAATTAATAATTCTTAACTTGAGACTATTGACCAAAAAAAGTTATATTTCGTATTATGAAATTGAAGTCATTTTTTTAATATTCAAAACAAGCAACTTTGCAGTGGATTTTAAGTAATGAACTTGTCGTGTAGGTCATATTTAGTATTACCATACTGTGAAGAATAAAGGCTGAAATGTCTGTGAATATACCCATAGTGAATCTTTTGCTACTCGAGTATAGTTCTTTGCGGATGCTGTGTAGCCTCTTTGTGACTGATTGTTCTATGTTTATTACAATATTCTAATAAAGTAAAATTAGCTTTGTTGGAGGCAATTTGAAAAGTATTTTTTAATCATAACTACAGAATACGGGATATGGGTTAAGAAATATATTCCGTTGAAATGATATGCTTGGGTAACTGTGCTTGGTATTAATCAGACTCCTATAGCTTTGTATGCCTTTGATTTAAATCAGATTAGAAAATTATGTTGCAAATACTTATTTTCTAAAAAATTCTTTTTTTCTAAAAAAAAAAAGGTTTTTTGTGGATTACTTGTTTATTTCTCTTGGTGATTTAAACATGGTTTGGTACATTAAAATAATATTTTAAAACTTCAATATTTGAAAAACATGTTCAGAAATATTTCTTGCTATTAGTCAGAGAAACTAGAGGAAATTTTGCTGAGAATAGGATCTGGCCTTAGAGCTGCAACTTGCTTGCCCAAGTTCCAGGATTGTATCTATTTGGACATAAAATCTTGGCAAAAATTGATGAAGATATATTTTTGTTTCAACATTATTATTTTTATTATTGTTATTTTATATTCATTTATCACACAAAGTAGCAGCTGGACATTTCTTAAATTGGTATACATTTTCTCTGTATTTAGAAAGAGGGTTAAATGGATTTTTTAAAATTATTTTGAAGTTGACTGAAATGCCCTGGTTGATGCAACACAGAAATCAGTCTCAGGGATCCATTAATTTGGAAACTATTAGGAATTTTAATTTATTTTTTGCAATATAACTAAAGGAAAAATATTTTATTGTGTGCGGGGGAATAATAGAAAGGAATATGAGAATAAGTGCTACTTCTGACTTAAATTTTAAATCTTGTCTTCTCCTTCCTTCCTTCCTTCCTTCCTTCGTTCTGGATGTTTCAGCAGCCAAAGGATTGACTGAGATGGATTCCTCAATACTTTTGCAACACAATGGTGGCATTCCAGCTAATAAAAAATTATCTACAACATTACCGGAACTAGAATACAGAGAAAAGGGGAAAGAAAAAGACAAGGATGCCAAAAAACATAACCTTGGAATAAATAACAATATTTTGCAACCTGTAGACTCTAAAATACAGGAAATTGAATATATGGAGAACCATATCAACAGTAAAAGATTAAATAACGATCTTGTGGGAAGTACAGAAAACCTCTTAAAAGAGGACTCATGCACTGCCTCATCCAAAAATTACAAAAATGCTAGTGGAGTTGTGAACTCCTCACCTCACAACCACAGTGCAACTAATGGAAGCATCCCTTCCTCATCAGTTAAGAATGAGAAAAAACAGAAGTGCACTAGCAAGAGCCCAAGCACACATAAAGACTTGATGGAAAATTGTATCCCCAATAACCAGCTAAGCAAACCAGATGCACTGGTAAGGTAAGTTTGGTATGTTACTGATCTGTCTTCACCACAACACCCTCACATATTTACTGTTTGTTTCCCAGTAAGTGAAAGTGCTCTGTTTTGAGGGAGGAAACCTGTTATGTTAGGAGAGGTGCATGCTATGTATTGAGACGTGTCCATAGTCAAGATTTGGTTCTGTTAGCTTTGGTGGGCTATACAGGTAGTCCTTGATTTACAATAGTTTCCTTAGTGACCATTTGAAGTTTCAACGGCACTGAAAAAAGTGACTTACAACCGTTTTTCACACTTATGACAGTTGCAGCATCCCTATGTCACGTGATCAAAATTCAGACACTTGTCTACTGGTTCATATTTATGACAGTTGGAGTGTCCCAGGGTCATGTGATCACCTTTTTTGACCTGCCAACAAGCAAAGTCAATGGGGAAGCCAGATATTAACAACGGTGTTAATAACTGAACAATTGCAGTGATTCACTTAATAACTGTGGCAAGAAAGTTCATAAAACAGGGCAAAATTCATTTAACTGCCTCACTTAGCAACAGAAATGCTGGGCTCAATTTTGGTTGTAAGTCGAGGACTAACTGTAATTCATGCAGTCCAGTAGTCAGATCAGCATAACAGGGTACAATATACAGACTTTAGTTTGGCACATGATTGATTGCAGTGTTCTTAGTGCAGAGTTTTTTGAGTTGGTATTTTATTGCTAAGAATAAATAAGCCGATGATTACAGTTGTCAATCATAGTGGCCTTGATGTTCAGCTCATGCAAGAGAAGTTTTTGAGAGCCTCTACAAATTAATTGGCCTCTACTAAATAAAATGATATTTTGAAGTCTGGGTAAACCATAAAAAAGAGGTAAAGAAAAAAATGCATGTTTACTATTCAGTATGAAGAAAAACGATGAAAAGGTTCACCACTAAATTTTGGAACTGATCTGTTTGTGCACATTCCATAAAATTTCACAAATTTAGCTCTTCTTCCATCTTACCCTTCACTGATGGAGGTGAATATAATGTCATATACTGCACTACTGATTGCAGGCAGTGTCTCTTCTGAGTAGTTCAACCCCTGTCGATTTCATGGACATGTAATTTGTTTTTGAAGCTTTGTAGAAATTGTCATTGCTTTCTACCAGCATAGTTGTTGGCAATTCTAGTGTAGCCTACAGCTCTGATGTCCACCAAGAAGATCAAATTTTCTTCTCATTTCAGTGCAAAATGCCTAAGTGCATTCAATTTGAATTTGCTCTGACCACCCATATATATTTAATTTGCTACTATTGTGTGCTGCATATATAAAAGCTGTTCCTCAACTTGATATCTTCCAGATGTGTTGAGAGGATTTGTCCAAAATTTCTGCCTGACTTGGGAAATCTGAAGGTTGTAGTCTTGGCTTTGGAAAGCTTTGGCTTGATACAAACAACAATTTTATTATTTTGATATTATCAGCTAAAATGTAAATATGTTGCTTTAAAACCATTAAGATGTTGAAGAATTCTTTGGCTAAGTTCAGTATTTCTTTAATGGGGAAATAGAATGTGGAGCCAGGGATTGTGATGTTCTTAGATTAAATTAATATTCTAGTCTCATTTTCACCTGATAACCATTGTGGACATGAGACTAAAAGGGTAGAGCTTAGTAAAATATCCTTAGAAGAGGATTCTGTTGATTATAATTTAAATGGTATGTATGTATGTATGTATGTATGTATGTATGTATATATATATATATACATACATACATACATACATACATACATGCATACATACATACATACCATTTAAATTATAATCAACAGAATCCTCTTCTAAGGATATTTTACTAAGCTCTACCCTTTTAGTCTCATGTCCACAATACCATATATATGGTATTTAGTGCCATTTATTATGGTGTCCTTCTGCATTATTTATCTGAGTCCAACAACAAAATAATGGTAATTGTAGTATTTCCAGAAGGAAATAAGCTAATTTATGCAATTTCTTCAGAATTTGTTCTGTCCCTGATGTGTTTTCAAATCTACTGTATGTGCTGATCACACTTAGATTGATGCTTGTATGCTAGATGAGAGCTAACAAATTAAGTCTGGACGAGACAAAAGTCCATCCATGCAACAGGAATAATTTTAGATTGCAAGTTCAAGTTGTATTTCTATTCTTTTCCACTGTTAATATTTTTGTATAGCAGTGTCTTTTCCTAAAATGTTCCAATAATTACATTGTTCCTAAAATGGGGCTGTGTTGGAAGACTATTCAGTTTCCTCAAGAGAAAAGTTTTGTATTTGTTTTTATGTATAACTCAGAGTTAAATACAGAGGCCATGGTTTTTTGCCCTTCATGCAATCCTAACCAGAACTTAGTATACAAAGAACCTTATCCTGTCACAGTTTTCAGTGGTAACTCCACAAAGATGAAATTCCCTTCTCAGGGAGCTCTTTCTGACTTCCATGCTTTGGATAAGGACGATAGTTAAGCCTTTTCTTTTTAAATCAGACTTTGTGGTTTCTGAAATATCTTAGCTATGATGAGTGTTATTATTATCATTTAAAAATCATGGTAGTATATACCTGTCTCATTTTATCATGGAAGAAGAAAAGAATATAAATGATTTTAAATAAATATTTTCCTAAATTTAAAATCATAAAAGTAGCAAATGAGATCTGTCATTAAAAAAAGCACTCTAATGTGGATTGTTCTTAGTCAGTGTTCTGTTTTAAACAGTCTTGTTTCCTTCTTGGATAATTTTTCTCTTCCCCGTTTTATATCCTCCCTGCCCAGTCACCATTCTGTGGCCACTGTGGTTACTATAATTAGAGGGGTTTATTTGTGGGTTTTTTTTTTAAACCAACTGGGATTCCGTAAATCTGCTGGTGTCTTACATATGATGGTGCTGATTTCTGTTTAATTTTTCTGGTTTCTCAAACCTCACTGAGAAATTCTAGGAATCAAAGTTTAACTCTAATCAGAAATGGAAGAAAAGATTATAGTTAAAAAACTGGGCAATAACCTTTCAGAGTGATTGTGTGGCTATGCGCATGTCAGATGAATGGTACTTGAGGTCAACATCATGATCATGTAAATATCTAAGTGGAGGCAGTCATGTTGTAGATGTTTGTTATGTGAAATCTGAATAATGAACTACAGATAGTCTTCAAATTACAACAATTCATTTAGTGACAGTTTGAAGTTACAATGGCACTGAAAAAAGTGATTATTGACCATTTTTCACACTTATGACCATTGCAGCATCCTCATGGTCACATGAATTACATCTGGATATTTGATCACTGACTCACATTTATGACAGTTGCAATGTCCCTGAGTCATGCAATCCCCTTTTGTGACCTTCTGAGAAGCAAAATCAATGGGGAAGTCAGATTCACTTAACAACCATGTTACTTATTTAAGAACTGCAGTGATTCACTTAACAAATGTGGCGAGAAAAGTCATAAAATGGGGCAAACCTCACTTAGCAACTGAAATTTGGGACTCAATTGTGGTCATAAGTTGAGGACTACCTGTAGTTTCTGTTATGAATCAGGTGAGACATTCATGACAACTGTAGCATATTTCACCAAATCTTAAGGCAACTAACCGTGTCAATGGAACTAACTCCCGCATTAGACCTGCATGCCCCTTCTGCACCCTAGCAGTGTTATTATTGGGATCAGTAACGTTATCCTCAGCATTGGAGAAACAGATTTATTGTCATATCAAAGCAACCAGAACTACTCATGAAGAGTCTCGAATTGAAGTTTTATTGCTACTTATCTATATTACTATTGCTAGTTATCTATGTTACAAGAATCTCACCGGACTGACTTCATTCCCTTGGGAAGGTGAGATAAGGCTTCAGGGATTCTGGGGGTGGTCACGTCTTCACCGCTTTCTGCAGTGCCACGACTCTAAACTCGTCTCCCTCTTAACCCCACCTTCCAGTCTAGCTGGAGATTCCTGCATATTTATTCAGTTTACTCAGTCTCTGAAATTTATTCAGTCTTTGAAATCTATCGACAGTCCTTCGCTCAACTCTAAAAACATTTACGTTTACAAACATGGACATTTAGAACACAAGACTGAGCCACAGAACAGAAAGATTTCAGAAGTGGGTGACCTTGCAGGAATTTTGCCTAATAGGTGAGCTCCATTAAACTATGCTGGCATGAATTCTAGCAATTGGAAGTCTCGCATAATTGGAAAGCACCCATTTTTCAGAGGGTGCCTCAGTTAATGACCATTCACATTAAGAGTGGCTGTACAGTTTTTGGTAAATAAATTTCTCTGGTTGGTATAGAGGTAGTCCTCAACTTAAAATAGTTCACTTAGTGACTGCCCCAAGGTACAACAGCACTATAAAAAGACTTAGGACTACTTTTTACACTTATGTCCGCTGCAACATCCCCATGATCACATGATCAAAATTTAGACACTCGGCAACTGATCCATATTTATGACAGCTGCAGAGTCCGGAGGTCATGTGATCGCCTTTCGTGATATTCTGACACGCAAAGTCAATGGGGTAGCCAGATGTAGTTAACAACCATGTTACTAATATAACAGTTGCAGTGATTCACTTAACCAGAAAAGTAGTCCTAAGT